GACCACAACGATATTCGAAATCCGGGTTTTAGTATTGTCAATAAAACAAAGGGACAAGCTGTTAATCTGAGCCTGCAATTTCGTGAAAATAATATCACAATGCACATGCTTTTTATATAAAGTTATTAAATACAAATATAACAACATATTTGTTTACTTGATTTTTACGAATCAAAATAAATATAATTAACACAACATGAAATTAACTGCTAATAATAACAGCTCCTTCCATAGGCCAAAATAAAAAGTATTCCATAAAAGACGACGCCGCTCACCGGCGTCGCCAATAAGATAACCTCGAAAAGATTGGTATCATTTAATGAAATTTCAACAAAAAGTTTACCAACAAGATATTGCTCTATATAAAAGCTGCATATATATGCATTTAGATCATATGAAACAATTTTTGAACAATAGGAAACTGAACTGTTTGCATGCTGTAACTAAACATGACTAAGCCTTCAGGGGCTTAGCCAGCTTTTTTCAACTTGTAGGCCCATAAAAGGGGGGTCTGGGGGGCTTAGCCCCCAGAAGCCAAAAAGAAGTTCACTTTAAAAAGATCAAAATGCGCGTTCCGAAGTATTTTCAAGAAAAATTATCAAAACAATAATTTTAAACTATGAATTTGATTAGATGTAAACTTTACTGAGGACAGTCAATCATGCATAAGCCTTAAACACACTTGAATTGACCATATATCTTGAACCCACTACCACCCCACCCCACCTGTTTTACTGTATTTTTGGGACTTATGTCAATTTCTTGAGCAACTTGTAGGCCCAGGCCTACATGGCCTAATTGTTAAACTACACCACTGGCCTTTATGCCACCAGTATAGTGATAGGTCAACCTGCATGGCTTTCTTTGTATTTTGAGACTTGACTTATAGACTCTATACTGCTGGTAGCTCAATTATAGTATTTTGATATTGAAGCCCAAATGTACTGTTCAAAATTCATAGCTGGACATTTTCTTTTACACATATTTAGCAGGTTAAGGGTTAAGAAAAATACACTTATACTTTTAGAAACTTTAAACTGTTCATGTACAATCCTAAATGACACTTTGAATGTTTTTGCAAAATAAATTATTATATCATAATGCTGTTCACATCATTAGCTTCCACACCGAAGTGCGACACCCTTTATAGAATGCATTCAGATTTTCTGAAAGGACAATTGCAACTTCTCGGGCCTTTTCATCAGTCATGATAGCCAAGGATATTCCGAGTTGATTTTTTAAAACGAAACGGTCATTTGTGTCGAGCTATGGTAATAAATTACGAACTGGAGAATTTTGTAGGAAATGAAATGCAAACATATTCAGCAATAAATTGCACTCTTTATAAATTTAACGAAAACTTATATTAAGTATAAATGTAGGCCATTTTTACGAATTGTTATAGCAAAAGTACTAATTATCATTTTGAAAGTGTCTTTTCTGTAGTTTTTTCCTGGTAAATTAATAACTCCTTTTGATAAACAATTCTAGAAAAATCTAATTAACCATTGAAAAGTTTGAAGAAAAAAAGAAGATTGGTCATCAGATGTCTACTAGTTCATCGTCACTTGCTGCTTTTCTGGTTGCCCGCCCTTTGTTGCTTTGCATCAATGCTTTTCTATAATAAGACTTTGCTGTTATAGAATGGTGGCCAGATGATCACAATGCACTTTATACTGGTAGCAATAGGTACAGTAAGTTAAAGTCATCATCACTGTGAGAGATAATTGTCATAGAATTGTCTGAATCAGTGAACAATGCCATGTTTAGGTACTGCCTTGTGAATAAAGTCTAGACCAAGTTATGATATGTTAGCATTATGAGAAACAATGTGGGATTAGAAGAGTAGTAGCAGACAAGATGATTTCTATGAATGTTGATGATTTCATTTTATTATCCAATTTTGAAGTTTTCAATATTTGAATTATGATTACGTTTGTAATTCACAGTCTGTTCTTATTGATATATCCTTCAGAACCTTTTAACTAGTACAAGGTTTGACTGTATACCTCAATTATTCTAGGAAATTTACATTGCTGCACATTTACAGTGCTTCAGTAACACAGAATACCACTTTTCAGTAAGATTTGGTGCTTTCACTGACAATATTAAAAGCTGTATTATAATTGAAAATAACATCAACAAAAAACAAAGAAGGGAATGGGGGACACATTTTAAATTTAACCATTGAATATTAATTATTCTGATCTGAAAGTCAGCAGAACATTTATAACTCTGTTATTGTCATTTATAACATTTTATAATGGAGAGAAGTACAGAAAGTTTATTGAACTTCTTTTTGTCTGCAAATTTTGTAATTCTGAGAAACTTTGTTTTTTTATAAAATCCGCGTAGCTATCACTGTAGTGTTGTATGAAACTTGAGGCTATGAAGTCCATTACTGTACTCGTTCCCTGACAAACATTTAAAGTGCATCTTTATTTTCTGTAGTAATTTTATGAGGAGTGAAATAAGAGGAAATTTTATGTTAATTAAACAGAAAGAAAAGATGTTTCAGGGAATAGTGGTTGGGATAGGCATTGAATTACATGAAGTGGGGAAATTAAATAACAATAGTAATTTCTGTAATATCTCTGTAGCATGAAATATTGAGACATTTAAAGATTGACATTAAAACTTATCATGTGTAAAATGAATGAAAATAGATAAGAGATATATTAAAAAGTAATGCTGGTTCTGATGTAAGGCCCATTTGACTAACTTGTTATCAAGTGTTTATTGTCAGGGACATTGACGAACTTTTTGCCAAGTGGTTATGGTTAAAGTCTTTAGAATCACTGTTGGTACCTGCATTTGTCTGAAGCTTAAGCTTACAAAAGTTTTGGTGACCCTTATCCCAGAAAAATATACAAGGGTGAGCCTGCATGAGGACTTATGGTCAAGATGTTAAAGTTTTGCTGTCATGGGTAAAGCTCCATTGCCTCCAGATGAGCCAAAATATTTCAAGAAGGACAAACTTCAGAAAAATGTACTAACATTTTAAAAAAGGTAAAAATATTCAAGGTGCAAGTAATAATATACATGTATGGTGTGATTAAAGACTCGGATTTTGCAGTATTAATCACCATAATTCTACTGCCTGACTAACATAGCACAGGCTATTTTTGTATACTTTGACCTCTTTTTAGTAATTTGCATTAATTGAAGTGTGAATTACTTTTTTTGGTCACCTTATTACATGATGTATATTATACAGTTATTACTTTAAGAGTAACATTTTCAAAATAATTGTGAAAATTAGCATGAATCTGCTGCTTTAAGATGTATTATCATTATTATTTCTAATTTGCATGAATTTGTCAGTAATAGTAAATCAGGTCAATACAGGGGTTTGAGAACACTTGCTGAGTAAATACATTTGTATTGTCATGTTATGAAATTGCCACTTTACCTAATGCAAGCATACAGCTGTGTCATGTGTCACATCATCTCCCTAAACAACTTAGTCTCTGAAACATTGTATTTGCTTTAATGTGTTCTAATTCTCAGAGTTGATACAACACTTAAATTTTTTAGACAATTGAGTCTTGTCACGACAAAATCAACATAGTGCGTTTGCGACCAGCATGGATCCAGACCAGCCTGCCCATCCGCGCAGTCTGATCAGGATTCATGCTGTTTGCTTACAAACCCTATAACAAGTAGAGAAACTGATAGCGAACAGCATGGATCCTGATCAGACTGGGCGGATGCGCAGCTGGTCTGAATCCATGCTGGTCGCAAACCACTTATGTTGGTTTTGTCGTGACACGGCTCATTTATTCTGTATTATTGAATTTTCAAGTTACTGCAGGTATGTTGAACAGAGAGTGGGTGGGGTAGATAATCAAGATGATAGTATCAATCATCTATGAAATGTGGAAAAAATTTCACCTCACATTAGTGGCAGCTTGTCTACAATTCCATTAAATCAGAGACAATTCCCCATCCACCAGTACAAATCTGATTAAAACAATGAAATCCTGCAAAAACATGGCTGCTTATTTGAATTTCTTTTCTGTGATTTCAGGGAATATCTTCTAATCGGAAATCAATAGTGTATGGGGTTTAGCAGTCAAGATTCAAAAAGGAGAAAAGTTCACTCAGATTTGTTTGCCTTAAATTTCAAGGACAAGAATTAAATGTACAAACAATTAGTTTCTGATCAGAATCCTAACTAAAATTAATGAGGAAGTATGGAATTTAATGTTTACTTGGAAGAAACTTTGAATTCATGAAAATAGTTATCATAATCATTCTTCTATTTTTGTTGTTTGATTATCTAAATTAAAAAAAATAGTTTTACAAAATTAAAGGCTAAAAGCAGTAAAGTTTCAGGCTGTAATTCTAAAGGATCTTGGTATATATTTTTTGGCTGAGCTATATAATGTATTTTAATGAAGATCGTGTCTAAAGTGTCATGATTCAGGGGTTTCTATTGCAGCTTTATATCTTTCCACTTTGTTTGATGTTCACCAAGCTGATTAAACTTTGTTTTATTAACTTCTGTTTTGAAAAAAAAAGCACAAGTGTTTTTGAGTACATTTACTGGAAGAAGCCAGATGGTGGCATATGAGTCACTGAGATGATATAGATTGAGGTAGTCTGCCAATTACAGACAGACCTTCTAGGTCAGCTGCATGCTGCTGCTTAATTGACTGTTACTATTTATAGTAACAATTCAGGTGAATTACCTATAGCAAAATCCAGAAGTTTCTATAAATAACTTAAGAAAATGTTACAGTTAGTCACCAATGCTTACATTGAATACAATCTATAGTAGTTGTCCAGCTGTTGTCTTGAACAGGTCAATTAACATGATACGATATTGTGATAACTGATAACTTAAAATAATCATTTAATATTATTATATTTTATATCATAAGTACATTTAGAGTGGAATTAATAAGTAGGAGGGGTACTAAGATTGCATGAGCTCACTACAAGGTGCAGCATATAAATGGTAAAATAATTAAGTTTTATGACTTGTTTATTATCAGGCATAGAAAGTTTGATTTACAATACTGTGAGACAGTGAGGAAAGTGAATTGGATATTTTAACAGCAACATAAGATCACCATGTCAGTGAGAGAAAGTGAAACAGTGCCGTGTTGTCAGTGTTTGTTGAATAATGGTGTTAAATGGAGAGTTTACCAGTTTATGATTATTGGATTTTAGTGACTGTTGTAAGAGATATTAGAGTTTAATACTCATGTAGAACATTGACATAACAAAGTGTCATCATAACATTTTCTTATCTTTTTTAATACGAAGAAAAGAAAGTTTTTAAATCATTGATCTTGTATCACTTTATATATGGAATGTATGTAGTTGAAAGTCAGTGAAAATGTGCAGGTATGTATAAATTATTAAATTGAAGATCTAATATATATATAGATTGTTTGCATCTTTAAAAAAAAAATGGAACAAAAAATAACAATTATATTAAAATAGAAGGATAATTACATAAACAGAAGTTAAACTCTAATAGATAAAGGACTGCACTGTATATTATTTTAACTCATATTATAACTGCTATGTGTTCCTGAGTTGAAGATCCATTGTTCTGACAGCCCTATAATAGTCAATTTCCTTTTGAATTTTTAGTTGCATTGAAATATTGGTTTTTGATAAAATCATTATTTTCTACATTTTTCCGTAAATTTTCATTGAAAATTAAGTGTTCACCTGTTCAAATGTTTACCGTCATTGTGAAATGTTTTATAATATTGTTTTGTACATGGCATTTTTTCAAGTTTTCACTATAATTTATTGACTAAAAATTAATGTACAAGGAAATCTTTAATAGCGAACTCACTGGAACATGCCCTGTCCCAGGTTACATAATCAAACATGCCCTGTCCCAGGTTACATAATCTTATAATTTTTATTAATTAGTATCTTTATATAAACAGACACATTATACATGTATATCGCACAGCTACCATGTGTGTCAAGTCGATAGATAGAATTTTAATTCTGATTGATTTATGTGGGTTTTGATGATAAAAATTATTAGAATTTTAATTTGATTGGTGTTTCAATTACTATATCTTTATTGAGCTACATACTAATTTTGGTTCAAATTGGGTAGATTAATTTCTACTGTCTGAAAATTTAGCATGAAATAATAATAACTCAACTCATAGGCACTTCATTTAATTTGTAACATTATAATATTTAATATGCAAATATGGTAGTTTCTATTAGTGATGACTTATTAATTAATTTATTGATTGTTAATTAAGTCTCAATATACATACATCTTGCTAGGTTCTTCTATCAGGGAACATTAAAATTCGTCATTGATTATCTCCTAAATATCAGGAGCTTCTGTAATGAAAGCCTGAAAATTTAAGTTCTTTAATGTCATTAATTTTCTTGGGGATAATTTTTTCTGATTGTGTAATTGTGTCATTACTCAGGGACATAAATTTCAGCTAACACAAAAATCAATAAGCCTCTTTTCATTTCTATAAAATAAATTTCATGAAATAATGTTCCTGAAAATTCACTGTTTTTAAGATGGTAAAATGGGCTTTATTAAATTATGATTTTTTTCTGTTCTTATAGGTACCTCTAGATATAAATGGATTTGCATCCATTATATTATCCTTTGATTTAGTTTATAAATAAATTTACTGTTTCAAACAAGTACCTGACTGAATATGCATTTCATTCTTTTTTTCTTCTGCAAAAATAAAACGCCATTTGTATAAAAAGGTTAAGTTGTAATTGGTTTGTTTACCCCTGTGAGAATTCCATGAATAATTCATGAACTGTTCATGAACATATTCATGGACAAGTTCATGAATGTGCATGAACAACAAATGAGACTTTTTTTAGTTCACGGACAATTCATGAATCAAGATATTCATGAACATGTTCATGAATATATGTTCGTGAACATTCATGAATATATTGATTCATGAATTGTCCATGAAAGAAAAAAAGTCTCATTTGTTGTCATGCACATTCATGAACTTGTTCAAATGCACATTCATGAAATTGTTCATGAATATGTTCATGAACAATTCAAAAACTTCTCCCAGGGGTCATAATAATGTGACATCACAATCAATTTTCATTTGATTCTAAGACTGCTGATTTGTACCAGCCATAAAATGCACAATAGACAGTGTTTTAGTACAAATACAAAACACAAAAGCCCATTACACAGGTAATGAAACTTGTTAAACACTGTGCTCATTGATTCCCTATGTACAAATTGAATTGTCATTAGAATTCACGACTTGCCAGTTTGCTCTTCAATTAATTTCTTTGACACAATTTTCCATAAGATTTTATATAGTCCATTATGTAAATACATCACTTTTTCTCCATTTTGCTAAGTCATTGTTATTTATTCCATTTTTAAGTAAGTTTGCACCGAAAGTTTGTTAAAACACATTTAGAGCTTTGTTTCTGGCGGCCATGTTGACTTTTGCATTATGGGTGTTACCAAGGTCAGCCAACCCTTGTTGATGATCAGTGAGTTCATGAACTCATGAGAGTTCATGAACTGAAATTTTTCAGTTCATGAGTTCATGAACTGAAATTTTTTCTAACACTAAAAAGTATTCACATGGGTTAAAATTGTAAAGACAAATTTGTTTTTAAAGTTCATGCTTATTGTCAGCTTGTTCATGAACATACCAAAATGTTCATGAACAGAGCAAGAATGGTGCCAAAATGTTCATGAACACATCAACATGATCGTGAACAGACATACATATTCATGAACTTGAATGTTCATGAATATTTGTTCATGAACATTTCTGCCAAGATGATGAACAATTGAAAGATGTTCATGAATATTCATGAACTGTTCATGAAAATTCATGAATTGATGAACATGCTTTCGCAGGTAATTAACGAGGAAACTTGTTTTGTTTTTTATTTTAGTACTTTAAATGCTCTGTAAAAAAGGCAATTTGAACGAATCCAGATTCAACCCATTATATCTTTATCTTTCCATCTTGACTTAATTATTCATCATTTTCAAGAAAAATGGGAAACAGCGCATAGATGTGACAGCTGATCTTTGACTGCACTCAGGTCTCATAGATTATGATGTTCAGTTGCCCCTAGCAGGCTTAACTTGTGTTGAAATTTAAAAGAAAAATATTTAATTTAAAACATCTTCTTTCCCTTACAAGAAATGTGGTTAAAAATGCTATCTTGTATTACATTCAGTTGTATTCTCCTAAGTCCTATCACCAGTTATCACAAATTGTTACAAGAAAAGCATTGATGCAAAGCATCAAAGGGCGACGCCAAAAGAATTTGATCCAGGTTTGCATCTAAATACTTAACAAAAGATGTGTACTTTATAGCAGTACCATTTCATGTGACCTGGAGGCTTGGCCCAGTTTATGTTGAAACTTAAACCAAAAAGAATAGACTCTGTCTTGCCAAGATGCAAAGACAATTTATAGTCAATAAACCAATCTTAAGATTTACTTTACCAGATACAAGGATACCTGAGTCATCATCATATAATGACAGGCACAAGTATCACACCTGGGAAGAAAAAATATGACCAGATTAATAAAAAAATCTGTGTTCATCTTAAAAGGGTCAAAAACCAAAAAAAATATGTAAATAATGACCCCCTTTAAAAATATACTATTAACTTTAAGTATATTTTTAAAGGGGGTCATCATTTACATTTTTTTTTGGTTTGTGACACTTTTAAGATGAACACAGGTTTTTTTATCAATCTGGTAATATTTTTTCTTCCCAGGTCTGATACTTGTGCCTGTGCATATAATAAAAGCTTATTGCTCATTGACATATATTAGACATAAAAGAGGACCTAAAATGAACATCAGGGGGATACCATAGGTATTCAGAGAGAAGGAGTACCAACCACATTCACCAGCTACTATCAGAGATAAGACTTAAACCATGTAAGAATGTCATTACATATGGCAGATGCTTGAAGTTCCATGAAGAAGAAGAAAAAAGAACTTCTTCATGTGCAGTATAGTGTGATCAACTGTACCTAATGCTTTTTGTAGATTTAAAAGTATCACGCAATACTGCCTTTGTCCATTTCAAATTAAATGCAATCTATTAAATGAATCAAACATGTGTCAGTTGAAAAACCACTTCTAAACCCTGACTGAAACTGCCTGACCATGACTCGAACCCATGACTTTCAGAAGACCAACTGAGCTATCCGGCCGGCTACACATTTTCTCTTTAATAATGAAACAGTTCTAAACCTAAACCTTTTTCCCCACTATATTGATTAATGTACAGTAAAAACCCGCTTTACGACCACCCCGTTTTCGGGACCAACCCGCTAATACGAACGATTTTTTTAAAGACCCGAATTTTTTATTCTTTATTTTAATGGTCGCTAACCCCGATTTTGAGACCACCCCATTATTCCGTAATGCGACCAGTAAATTCAGTCCCATTTCGTAAATTCTGTACATTTGGAAACCCATAAATACGACCGCGGGCACTTTCTCACCTTGATATTGACATGCGTGTATATTGCTGAAATCTTTTTGACACGTGATGTAAACAACAGTTTTACGACATTTAACGACATCCAGTTTACGGCAGAGGTCAAGGTTACTTTGTATCAAACCCGGAAATGATCAATAATATTGTCGATAATTTCTTAATTTCACACCTTTAATATCATAACTGGGGGATTAAAACAACAAAGTATTGAACAGAAAACTTTCAATAAGTTTTTTAGAGGTGTTGCTGCTATCATTATCTCTTTCGTTCCATAATTTTAAACAAATAAGATTATGTTTTTGAAGTTGTTATCGGCGATGAAAACTGTGTAAATAATTAAAGGTTAATTGTTCGGTGTGCTTTGTAGTAAAATGTTGATTTAATAGAGTAAGTCGTGTCATTCTTTTAACAAGAATGTAAAAATATGTTTGTGTTTAAAGACATTCATAATACATTTTGTACCTCTAAAGAAGTTTAAAAATTTTATAATGTTAAAAAGTAAAAGAAAATAAATGAAAATAAAAAAATAATAGTGTATGCTTTATATTTTCTCATTTGAAATAGGTTAGCCCAGAATTAAACATGTGTACAGTACATGGTATCCCTTAATATATTGCCTAGTTTTCTGTTTGGCCAAACTCATTAATGAGACCAACCCGCTATTAAGACCAGATTTGTAAAGTCCCTTCATTGGTCTCATTAGCGAGTTTTTACTGTACTTGAATTTCTGATGTTTACAGAGCATAGTAAATTAAACTAATGGTTATTTGCAGTTACCAGGATGAGAAAAACTTTCAGCTTGACCAGAACTCAAACCTGTGACCCACAGAATAATGTACCTCGGCTGTAGCGATTGAGCTATCTGGCCGCTTACA